CAAAATTATCAAATCTATCCTCACTGTGTGAAGACTTAGAACGTGACATTGGCGGAATTGTGATTTACACAGATGTCGCCATTATAAATAAAGTGAAGTGAAGTGAAGAAGTTTGACTTCAAAAAGCAACATGGCGCGTAACGAAAAAATGTGACGCGTAACGCAAAAATGTTACACTAAATTTTTTTCCAACCCCGATAAAGAAGTTTCACTTCAATAATCATGTATAGTTTGTAAGCTTTTATCTAGCAATATAATAGCATTGAAATGTTCTTACAAGATAGTTTTAGTTAGGATTATAATACATTGGATAAAATTAATTGATATAAATCCTTCTTATGTATACATATATTGAGGGATCATATACAAGTGGGTCGATATCCACAGGCGACTAACATATTACTACTAACATGTCCCTGTGTTGGTTAGAGAGTGCCCAAGTTTTGCAGCTATAGGTAAGCCTGGGTGGAAGGTGTTAAAAACTTTGCTCTTTATTTTTTTGCTAAAATCTGTTGTTTTCATAATCTTACTCAATGTCCAATATCTTTTCCATCTACTTAACATTTAGCTATAAGTAAATACTAACAAAATTTGTAATGGAAAATATGATTATAGAAATAAAAAAGCCTTTATGATTATTATTATACATATATATTTATGTGAATGTAACATTATTTATTATACCTGATCTTCCGGACATTTAAATATGCTTCGCGTTAATTTCTCAAAAATCAAGTAAAGCGGGCCATAGACAGACGCATGTTGCAGTCAAGACCGACTGCAATATACGGTCGCCTCACGGCGATCTGCAGTTTCCTTATTAAATTCATATCCGCAATACACGGACGGCTCGAGCAGTTCCTGAGCAAACCGCATATTGCAGTCGGTCTTGACTGCAACATGCGGTCCGTCTATGGCCCGCTTTACACTCTTAAAAAATGGTCTTTTCGATGTGAATTTGATTAAGTTTTTATTGGGTATTATTTCTCCAATAAATGTTACGAGACCTAAACAAACAGTGTTCATATCGTACTGCGTTCGATCTCCAGAAATATTTAAAGATTGTTCACAGCGCAAACATTTCGTACAAGTCGATATAAGGGTACCAACAATGGGTATTCACGGGTCAACAAAACGATCCTATTCACTTTGAGTCGCCGGCTAATCCCCACAGCATCGCATTCCTCACACAAGTCTAAAAAAAATTTAACGCCGCCGAGGTTCCTAGCTTCTTGGAAACGCGGAATTATAGACGAATAATAGAAATATTTGTCAGAGATTTTGAATGATGACGCAGCATTGATCCTGTAACATTGGAATTTCTAAGTACATTTTTGATACTTACCCGCTCTACGCCCTTGACTTGCAAACTGGTAGTAAATGTAAATTTACAATTAATTTAACTTCTTTTCGACGTTCATAAGTGTACTTGTTTACCTATATGAATAAATATATTTTGAGTTTGAGTTTGATACTTAATTCATTTCAGAGTTAATTGTTCCGTTCCTATATCATGTAATGTGTGTTTTTATTATTAAAAAAAAACTAAGTCGGAGATGCAGTAATAGTAAAATCTAAAATTGGAAGTGTATATTTTTATTTTTTTTGTAATATTTATATTTATTTTAGAAAAGATAGCTACATATACTAGCATTATATAGGATGTGGTGAACTTTAATATATAAATTAAAAATATTAGATGTAAAGCTAGTTATATCACGATATCAATCACATTGTTTATCCCTGAAGGGATTTAATAATAATATAGTTTTGACGTTTTAATTTGTCAGTTGGTACACAAAATTATGAAGCCTTTAGACCAGTGTTTCCCAACGTGGGGCCCACGCCCCACAGGGGGGCAATTTGATTGTTAAGGAGGGCTATTCGAAAATTTATTACAATTATTTGTTATTAAAATTTAAGTTTTTTTTATTATATGTTTTACTTACTGTGTATTGTTAACAATTACCTAGTATTATTTTTCCTAAAAAAGGAAAAAGATGATAGGTTTCTTTAATTTAACGATATATATTTTTTTGTATTAAAAGTTATGTATATTGTATATATATGCCATGGCACAAAAAAGGTTAGGAAACACTGCTTTAGACACTACATTCCTGCCATAATAAAAAAAGCTCAATCCAATATAATAATGGTAACCTATGAATAATAAGATCAAATAAAAAATCTTCGGGTACAATCGTATAATGTAGACAAACTATTATGTAAATACAATGCAACAATCTCGTTCTGTCCGTACGTCGCGCCTTCACAAAGACATTCTTGTATTTCTCTTTCATTCAACCGAATTACCTTTTAATTTATATGGGACTAGTTCTCAAACTAATCTTTGATGACAATAATGTGATTCAAATGACGTGGAAGCGTGGCGGGCTTAGATGATTTCTAGCAAATTAGCAAAATATCGAGTTTTAAGACATTATACTTTTTTTAAACCTAATATTAACAATGTTAATATGAATATGTTGAAATGTCAACAGGAAAAACAAAATGACAAAATCCTAAGCCAACTTTACGGAGTACGCAGAAACGTTAATACAATTTACTCCAATCTACATTCAGAGAAGCAATCCAATTTTTAAAATGAATACGAGTATGATTGGAAATTATACTAAATGGGAGAGTTCTCCATAGCAACGCCTTTCACGCAGAACCGACCTTTACCTTGCTTCAGTGTCTGCTGAAACAAATTGTTGACTTATCAAAGGCCTTTGATAGAGTCGATCACTTCAATCGCCCTGTTTCCATAGAATTGCGCACCCGATTTGTGGCGAGTGTTTCTCATATAAAGGAATCAATGTACACACGAAACTGAAGCTTAGAACCTATTAATAATAATTTATAGACATCTTAAGTTTGTAGGGTATTACAAGGTAAGGTTTTGGGGCATTTACTTTATAAGGTGACCCTTTCAAGGGCGCCTTTTATTCCGTTCAGCGAAGTTGTTTTTGTTCGTAATCGAATCACTATTCAAATGTTGTCGAGAGGAAATCGGTTGGAAGTCCTATGTTTAACCTAGAATGTGAAATACGACCGAGTAACTGTTTACTATGAATTAATTTGTTTGTGATTCAACGTTATTTAGTACCTATATTATCAACATTAAATTATTAGGGTGACATTCTTGAACTCCACAAGCGACAACACTTACAACATTTGAATGACAGCTAATAACAATGCGATTGTAGACGTCAAGTGGAGCTGTGACACCAATAACATTAGATGACATAAGGGTAGTTTTTTCAATGAATATTCTATTGGGTGATTATCATAATATAACAACCTGCGAACGCGCCGCGCCCGTCGGAACTAATAAAAATGCAAACATAACATTGAAAATTAAATAAAAAACTAACAAAAAGCGTGTTGTGACGATGTATTATCTAAATAGGTTGTATAATGATGCGTCTCTAATATTATGCAAAGTGTTTATTTCATGTAAAGGCTTCAATGTGTTTTAAAAAAAAAAGGTGAATGTGGATAGTTCGCCGTTAAATATATGTAATTTACTATAACGTTATTTGTTATTATTAATTCGATCGAACATTTATTGCTAAGTAATAAATTTTTCTAACAAGAAAGTCTTTGTGAAACAGAATTAATTAAATAAATAAAATTTTACAATCAAATTCTGGAAACCAAAACTAATTGTAGTGTTCCAGTTTTAGAGAGTATTTTTTTAAAGTAAAGATTTAACACCGCTTCAGACTTGATTTCGCTATACAATGCGGACTTAAGATAATTGTATCCAACCAACAAAAATAATAAAATGAATAAAAAGCTTAAACAATTACACATGTCACTCCTGTGTGTACAGTAGGTACCTACGCGTTAAATTATATTTTCTTTGGTACTGTATACACCATTTTATTATAATGTTTTTGCGAATAAATTTAGTTTCTCTTTTGTTTATATGGAATATAAATTGTTATGTAATACGATTTTTTTTCTTTGACGAATACTCGAGGGGTGAGAATACTAAACGAAATAAAACGAAGTACCAACGACGGTTCCTTTTGACTATGATTGGAGCATCTTGGATGCGTTGACACGCGTCGTAATGCGTCCGATGGTTACGTCTTTCATTTGCAATCTCATCCCCCAGGATGTTTCATCATCGGACGTCAAAGCAGAATACGAATCCACCCGACATATTTACCGATTACCGCAGTTTTTGCCACACGCCACCACTATGTGGAACCAGCTGTCCACTAAAGTATTCCGAACCAATTCGACTTAGGATCCTTCAAGAGCGTACCAATTCTAAAAAGACCGGCAACGCACTTGTGAGCCCTCTGACAATATGAGTGTCTATCACTTAACATGAGGTGAGCCTCTTTCCCGTTTGCCCCCTATTATATATAAAAAAAAATCTAAACATTATAATTTATGTATTCATTTTATACAATTACGTTTCTTAATATTGGGTTCTACAAACTACACATGAATTGAAGTACAGTATAGGGAAAATTAAATCAAGTTTTTTACAAATTTATTATATTATAGAACTCAATACCATATTTCGATTGTTTATTGATGTGACCACACACACCTCTGCGATTTTGAGGTCCTTAACTTTTTTATTGTTTTGTTAGCGGGTGCATTAGAGGCTAAACGTCTTTATTTGCATTTTTGTTATGAACCCTAAAATCGATAATTTATTACGAGATCACATACGATGCTGTATTTTTAATGCAATATGCTGTTCACTTTATTTCAACCTGTCAAAACAAACTTTGGAAATTCTCTGGTGATATTTTAAGGATATTGTTGGTTCATATTGGTTTAAAGGAGGTTAACACATAGTAGGTACAGAAACATTTGACTGAGTTTTTTTTAAATCTTTGAAAGTGACAAATGGTTTATTTTTGATGTTGACATTTTTAGCAAATATTTGAGTGATACTTTCAAAATCTTCGTAATTTTAAAAGAATTTCATAAATGTTTGTACTAAAAATTCTCCATTCAATTTCATCACAATGTTACAACGCGAATTTGAGTTAACTCCACAACTATCTTGCCCACATACTTGTGAAGATTCTGTTGAAAATATTATAAGGAAATATAGTTATATAGATCGCAGTAATAGAGAAATCAACAAAAGTAATTTTCTTAATTGTTCTAACCATATTTTGACTCCAAAGAAACCAACAACGATATCAGAAGAGAATGATAACAGTTTTACTACTCTATCTAACAATAGAATATTTGATGATCATTTATATGATTTCATAGCAAACTATTGTAAAGAAGAGATTAGAAAAGAAGTTGATTTGAAGGTATCCTCAAATAGTTCAAAGAATTCAACTACGGGTGTTGGATGTCAGAAAGAATATGTGGACAAAGCTACATACTGCCGACCCGTCTTTAATTTGTACAACCGAGACTTTATATTTAAGACCTTAGAACGAAATGCAAAGCTTACTCGTTTGATACAAGAGTTAATTACGAGCCATCAGAGAAAAAAGCAAAACGAAGTTTGGAATAATTTTATAAATGTTCTAAAAAGTAAACACAATGATTCTAAAATGTTTGATGAAGTTCCTGTGAATGAAGAAACGTTGGGTAATGTTCGGAGTTCACAATTTAACGATGGTTGCCATGGCCAAGAGCATTCATGTGTGCAATCATCAAAACAATGTAAATGCTTACTGGACGATATTTATGGAAACTCGAATGAAATTGAAGATTTTATAAATCATAAAAATACATGTCATCAAGAAAAAAGTCAATATCACCAAGAGAGCAGTCGCTCGTTTTTGAGGTACCCGTTTTGTTATCCAACATCATCTGTGGGACGTCTAACTATGTTGCATAGAGAAAATGAACGTTTATCTCAGCTTGAGAAAGAGAAAAAAATAAAAGAAAAATTTCGCAATCGATATAAAAGTAAATATGATATACAAATAGAAGAAGACAAGGCCTTAAATGAATCTGTTCTCTTACACTCAAAACAGAGTAAACTGAGACATATGACTGTCCAGACAGAACACAATGTTTTGATATTGCGTAACTATCCACCAAGCGATAATAATCGTTCAGTCGAAGCCAGATCAGAAGAACGGGAAAGTTTATTGAAAAATACAACAAATATGGAAGAACTAACACAAAAATTAGATTCTCAACCAGAAATTTCCGTAAAAAACTTGACGTTGAAAGAAATTGAAAATAAACTAGAGTTGTTAATAACTTCTATTAATAGTCTTATTGGTGAATTTAAAGTGAACAAAAACATAAAGACTGTGTCAACACAAGAGATAAATAACCATTTTAATCATTTAAGAAGTGTTGTAGTTGGAAGCAATATAAATAAAAAATGTAACGGTGCCAGTAAATATTATAGTAATTCTGAAAGTATTCTACCCACGGGCAAATGTAGTATAATTTTTGAGACACCAAGAAAAGAAAATTCCGATCTAAAAAAAATCAATGAAATATTTTCAAGGGAACTAGGGGATAATGCTTCATCAAACAAAACGTGTGCGGTCCAGATTACATTTGAAGTTCCAACGAAAGAAACATCTACAGAAGTTACCAAGTCCCTCTCTAAAGCGCATATATTAGAAAATGATAAAATAGAAGAGATTATCATCCCTGAACCCGGTACAACCGAGAGAATTACGATAGCTGTAAACACCGACCCCTTGAATATTTTAACACTACTAAGAATATCAACACAGGCTATGAAACGCTTTTTGTCTTTTATGCCACATATTGATTATTATTATTATCTATCAAGATTTTATCTACCACAATTGCCAAGCACAGACCAAAATTTCAAATGCAACATCTGTGGCGCGAAATTCACCAAGGCTTCTGAACTCAGTTATCACATTCAGGAACACGATTTGGGAAAAGCGAAGTAAGTACAAATCATTTTTAAAAGCCAAAATATCTTTAACATATCTACTTATATTTTTATGCGCTGGCGGTAATATTGTGACCATTATGCAAATTCGTACATACAAAGTACATTAGTATCCTTAAATTGCACCGATCACATATTTTCAAAAGGGTATAACATAATATAATGCATTTTTAATTGGGATAAACCTTTAATAATATTAATTTAAGACAAAAATATTGCGATTTTAATGTTTTAAGTCTCAAATCAATAGGAAAATTTGTAACAGAGTAAAGCTCATACATCTTTTAAATCATATATAAAAAAAAATATATTAAAAAAATAAAGACCGACAACGGTTCCAGGTGCTCGTGGAACTCTAGTTTGTACAGTAAATAAATAGGTGAGAAATACGGTATGTCGTAGAACATATTGAAAGATGCCTCCCGTATGTTTCAATCATATTAGTTTTGACAAATGGGAGTAACAGCGCTAGTCTCAAATTGAATCTTAAGTGCCCGGCCTCACCGGGACGCCATGGCGACGTGGCCAGCGACGTTACCATGGCTACCACTGGCGTCTCTACGTCGCCAAATCGCGTCGCCAATGCATTCAGTTCTGTCTCGACTCAAAAATCAAAATCAAAAAGAAATTTTAATGAAATGATCTATAAATTATAATAAAATAATAATAATTTTATTTAATCATTTTAAATAAAATTTTAAAATCATTATTATGTAAAATATTAATAATTAGGAGAGCACGAGCCTTACTAACAGTTTCCTTTAGGATACCTAAGTAAAAAACATAATTAAGAGACTCTGAAAAAGCAAAAAAAGTGCTATAGTGTGCTAATTCACCAGGTAGCCAGCGTAGCCAGAGTCGACCGCTCCGAATGCGGCGACTGGCGACGCTGGCTACTTGGCGACGTCGCCAGTCGGTAGCCAAGTAAGTTAGCCGACATACATCTTTATATGAACTAGTTGGCGACGTCGCTGGCCACGTCGCCATGGCGTCCCGGTGAGGCAGGGCACTCAGTAGTAGAAGTAGACGACATGACTTAGTTAAAGACGCATTTACCTACTTGCCTATGAAGATACTTTCAATGTGAATGGCCATATTAAGCTGTCGTGGAATTTCAAATAATTCTTGTAAATTTATTGTATGTATTCGAATCATCTGTAATAAATTAATATATTTATAGAGACTGCTGTGTTTGCCGACACGTTCTTGACCTGTCCCATCGCCCGGTAAACATCTATAGTTGCTGTCATTGCGGGCAGTGTTTTGTGAGAGCTTATTGCTGTGAGCTTCATCAGAAGGCTTGTGGACGACGGCTTGGCAATACCCAAGGTGTAACCAACTCTAACTTGCTAATTCTAAGATAGATTTAAAAAAATACGAATTCACATAACTTCAAATAGACAAGAATTATATGGCAATTAGTTTCATAGACAACTATTCACATTTTGTTTTGTTTATTGACATTGTAATGAATAAATAAATCACAGATAATATCATTCTTTTATTCTGCCCAGGTATCGTTTTTTATTATTGTTTTATTAGAACAGAATAATAAAAAAATAAAGGCTTTAAACTTTTATATTTACGAAAGTCTATGTACGGAAATCCTATACATACTCTTATTTATGTTAAAATAAGAGTATGTATAAATTTTTCGCAAATAAAGTTGCGAATATGATTAAAGTCAGTATAAACAATGATAAAAACAAACTTGTGAGATTCAAATGTTTTTTGAAAAGGGTTCTTTATCGTATAAATTAATTAAGGTAGTGCTATTAAGTTATATTAGGATTATTTGGACACATTTAAATTGATTGTATAATTAAAATGCTTCTGAATGTGATATGGCAAATATTTTATCGCTTGTTTATTAAAATGAAATTAACGATTTGCATTAATGGCGATTGTAATAAAGATATCTCTGAAATTATTTAAATTTTTGTTTATTTATGCACCTGATTTTACAACTTTATTTATATTTGTTGGTTAACACACATGGATGAGGTCCTGGGCGAAATTCCCGTCAAATCATGTCATGCAAACATCAAACGACTTAACTTTGTTTTTTTCTCTATGGTAACTCTACGGCTCTGTTGCCAATGAAACTAGATAATTTTAATTATTGGCCTTCATCTCCGATTTAAAAATAAACACTTTGGAAACCTTAAAAACTACATGAATTAAATTTCTTACTATATTTAGCTCCGAACACTTACAAGAAAAGTATAAACTCAATGAGGAAATATCACTTTTGAAAATTATTTTATTTGTTGCATTGTTTGTTTACGTGCCCACTTTGGGATGTGTATTGTATTTTGTTAGTTCGACACGTTTAATTTTTTTGTACCAGAACCGTAGAGGATAATTGGGAGAGGCTTTGTCAATGGTCCTTTGTGGCGCCGACTCGCATCCATCATGGTTAGGACTAAAAGTGACCGTAATATATTAGCTAAGGCTCTTCATACGAGATTTCAATCTTAATTTGATAGAATTTTTAGCTTTTGAGTGAGTATTATTAACATACAATACTTTATTTAAGTCTTGCTGACCACGATAGCTAAGCTTATGATGAACACGAAATCACTCGAAACGAAGCAATGAAAACAATCGATTTATTTTTAAAATGTCAACTGTCATTTGAAAGACTGTGACAATTTGTTGACGAATCTGTATAGTCAAATGTTTTAGTTTTATTAAGTTGAGTAGTTTTCTCCTACACCAAAGACAATATTGAAAAATATATATAATATATAATAATATTTAACGATGACATTAAAGATAGAATATATATATATATATATATTATATTGTATATTTTGTAACATTGTATACCTTGCAATATTGAATTCTAAATATTTCAAATTATATGCTAAAATTGTCATAAGTTTAAATCTTATTTCAATGTGGTTTCGTGTTTTACTAAAACGTCATTGATTTCAAAGAAAACACTCTGACATTTGACAAAGTAATTTGAAATACGAACGATCTGTCAATCACAAATTCTTTAAAAACATAATTACGAATGTAATACGTATGTACAGCGTATAAGAAGCCTTCCGTATTCTTATGTAATAGCCGTAAAATTATTATCGATACATCTCAATAGCTGATACATCAGGGCGTAATTACGTTCAGTCGACAGAGCGTGATAATTCAATCACCCTGCAGATATCAATGGCATATGTGGTCAAGTATGAGTTATCCGAGATTGCTTTACAGCTGGACTTGTGTTGGACTTTGTGATCGTGGCGTATTTCGTAATAAGTTCAGTTCGAAATAATTACGAATGTTTTATCTATGTATAAAATTGAATTTGCCGATTGCCTAAATCAAAGGGAGGGTCACAAGGCTGAAGCTTAGAGAAAAATGGGCAATAAAACAGTGATAAGCATGTCTGTCACAGTGTTACTTCATACATGCTATTTTAAAGTGCATACATACATACACGTGCATACGCTAGAATGCTTGGTCTTGGTTCAGATTCTATTTCTTGATTATAATATAATAATTGTTAAGTAGGTACGTGATCAGCGAGACACACGCCGTCGATTTTTGGGTCTGAGACATGCCAGTGTCCTCACGATGATTTTATTGAAAAGTCATGGTGCACAGCCGTGATTAACATACGACCTCAGTCTTAAAAGTAACACGCTGAAGCCAGTGCAGTAGCAGTGGCGTAACAATACCATCTGGGGTCCGTGGCAAATTCTTTTGATGGGGCCTTATCAGTAAAAACCGTCATGTTGTACTCAGTTTAATTTAAATAAACTTCGGGATTTACAGCGTACTCAATTACACGTTGTATATATCCCATTAGTGGCCATAGGCCTCCTCTCTTAGGCGAGAGGGAATGGTCTGTAGTCCCCACGCTAGCCCAATGCGTATTGGAGACTTCACATATCCATAGAACATAATATCTCTTGGGCAGGGGCCCTCTTGGGTCAAGGGCCCGTGCCATTTTTCCAGCCCTGCCACCCTGTTTTTACGCCACTGGCCACTAGACCAATACTTCTCAAAGTACTCAACTATATAATAACTAAAAGGTTAAGAGCGAACAAATCTCAATCAAGATTTAAACAAAATCACAATCGTGACGTCGAGAGAAAACTAAGAAAAAACAATGTTAGAAATCAATTGTCATTTTTCATTTATATCAATGCCTTCCCACGAAACAATACTGACAGTTTCACTTAAACAGATGCGCGTGCGCAGCGTGCTTACCAGTTTGCACTAGGAAAAAGTCCGTTTATTACTGTTCGCGGACTATGAGGACATAGTTTTTATGATTACACCAAAATATATAGACGAAATACTTAATACAGTAAAAATAAGAAACATATTTCTTGATTTTTACTGTATTTTGATGTTTTTGGGGAAATTATTATGATATTTTGAGTGGCCCGGGAAGGCGATAGAAATGTAAAATCTCTGTTTGGATTTAATTTAGAGAAGTTTTTGATATTTTACCAAAAGTATGAGTCCGGTTTCAAAATGATCAATGAGCGCCACGTGAACATTTCTTATGAACGAAGAATGACTGATTTCAGAAAGCATAAATGAGTGAATGCTCCTAAGTGAATCTATGTTTAAATCATTACTACATGGCTCAATCGATTACTAATACATATATATCTATTATAATAAGTGGCGCTACAACCCTACATGCTCTGGCCTCAGATTGCATCATTTGATCAGTTTTGTTGCATACAAGTGAGGTAGATGGTGAGGAGAGTGAGAGTGAGTAGTCAGATTTGAGATATGCTCGGTTTCCTTACGTTTTCCTTCACCATTGTACACGAATGTTGGCAGCCGGCGATCGAACTTACGACCTCAGAGGTAAGAGTATCACATTGCAGCCACGGGCCAACACTGCTTTCTTATAAATCTAAAGTGATTGTTTGTTCAGGTGAAAAAGTCTCATGAATTACTGGATCGAATTGAGAAATTCTTTTTGATTCTTCATTTATCGATGAAGGTGGTTATCACACAGCAAGCACAGAAAATGAGGATCACGTTGTAGATATTAGAAGATCAGGAACTTTGTAAGATCTGCTTAGACCTAGAAAGTCTAGACAATAAAATAGACCCAGATTTCCCACGTCTCTTCGTAAACCAGTGCGAATATCGTTACAAATTGTGTATTTGTCAAAGCGTTTTGGGAACTGGCCGTTACTCTAATATTGATAAGTACGAATTTAACCGTGAAATTAACTATTAAAACGAATTGGTTTTTGTTAGTTTTTTTAGACTACATGTTCCGCGTTTTTTTATTATCTCATAGGACATGGTTTTATTGAAAAGACAATTTTAGTGGCGCTTTTTCAGTCAACCCGTAACTATGGACGCGAAATGTTAGTTTAATAACTGATTGACAATTTTGGTATTAGTATTGTCTTTTATTGACCTAATTTTTAGACATAGAAAAACACTTTTTTAACGGATTAATAATTATGTAAAATAATTGTAAACTTCAAATCCGTTAAAAAAGTGTTTTTCAATTTTCGTATTTTTAAAGTAGATGTGTTCTGATTTATGTTCAGCGATAGTAAAGTTTAATCTCGATTATAAAGAGTTCATATTTTGTACATATCTTTTCTATATAAAAGAGCACTGTTAGCCTAGTGGCTAACGTATGGCACTCAACCCTGAAGACATGCGTTCGAATCCTGGCTGTCCATCAGTCATGTTTTCATTCTAGACAAAAACTTTTTTCTCTCTGTTTAATGTTTTCGTTTGTATGGATTGTATTTTTTTTAAGTTTCGCTTTATATTTTAATTTGTAAGGAATTTTTACTGTAGTACTTAGTAGTTGTTCTCCTTTATCTTAATTTATTTCTCTACTGTACATAACCTGTCCACATCGTATCCCTAACTTTCGTAATAACTGAAATAATCGAGATACATATGCCCTTTCACATATGTTTATTTGCTTGGTGTCGTCAATTCTTCGTCTAAGTAATTTAAAAAACCTTACAATAGTTGCCTGGAAGATCTCGCTCAAAGCGATGAGGCCGCCCGTTGCCCTTCTTATTATTTAATTATTTTAATTGTACTGTATTTCCTGCAACGAAGTGTATGTAAATAAAATAAATAAATACCCGTAGTTTATAATGTTTAAGCAATAATATAATAAAGTTTCTCCCGTGTGTCAAAAACATACTTACAGTAAGAAGAAGACAGATAAGAGACAAGTAATCAACGTTTTTGAGTCCAAAGGCTTCATACCAAAGCTTTAAACAGATGCAAAGAGGACGAATACATTTGAAATTTTAAGAGCATAATACGCGTTGCAGACCAAGAGCTAAGCTACGTTAGTTTAGCTTAGCTCGCATAGCTGACGCAATTTTCCATACGTCTGTGCAGA